CCAGAACAGGAAATAGCCCCTCTGACTATAAACACATCCCACGTTGAGTGAAGGAACAATCCTTTTTATTAAGGCTTTGTAAAAAAGCCAGTAGAAATAAATGCTTGTAAAGATAGATAAGATTCCAGAAAGCAATAAGGCATTCAAAGACAGCAAGATATAACAGTGTCCAAACGTAGCAATCAAAAGCAATTTCCAAAAGGCATGAGAATACAATCCAAGGCAATGATCATCCAGACAAGAATCAAACAAGAAGCAAGAACAGACCAGAAGCTGCTAGTCACCTTGAAAGGCTAGAAAAATCCATGGAGACGAAACCACTTGAGCAGGAATTCCACGAGGCTTATACTTGGTTTCCAGACGATGGCTGATTTGACAAAATTTCCTAAAGGCAAACCTTAAATCCCAAAAAAACTGGTTTCGTTTTCCTCCAGTCTTTGACCTTAACTCATGAATTCTTTTGGATCTATGTAAACATTGGGCCTCTTGTCGATTCTGGCTAATTTCCAGCTGCCAACTGTGCTTATCTGACTCCTCATTAACTTTACCAGGTGTCAGACTGTTTTCCAAAATAGAATTTGGAGAGCTCACAGGCGGAGAGAGTAAACCTTTCTCCCAAGGCCTGACAGAAACATTCTCATGAGAATCTGCCCTTCGCACCTCTCTGTCAGTGTCTGCATGAAACTCCTTGACCAAAGTGTCTCCATCTTGCACCTTAGAGTCGGTCCCAGCAGGCCCGTAGCCAGGATTTCGTTTCGGGGGGGGGGGGGGCGGAATTTTTTTTCAGGGGGGGTTTCGGGGGGGGGCTGAGTTTCGGGGGGGGGACTGAGTCTGAGTGAAAGAGGGTCTAGCCTAGCAAACCTTTTGTATCATTACCCCAATACCCCCATGCATATGGGATATATTGAGTATGGTGATCAGATCATGATATGAATAACATAACAGTTTAAATAATGCACCATTAAGGCCTTTTCACGAACCACCATGAAAATTTCGGGGGGGGCTGAAGCCCCCCGAGCCCCCCCCCTGGCTACATGCCTGGTCCCAGCATCCCCCACCTCAGAAGCAACAGGGGACTGATTTCCCTACTCATTACCCACATCAGACACAGAAGCACCGGGACTATGGCACAGCTGGCTGGGTGTCAGCTGCATTAAGATCAATACTGACCAAAAGGTCATGAGTTCAAAGCCAGCCCAGGTTAGAGTGAGCTTCTGACCAATTTGTGTAGCTTGTTATCGACCTTTGCAACCCAAAACACAGTCAAGTAGGAAATTTAGGTACCACCTATATGTGGGGAGGCTAATTTAACAAATTTATGAGGCCATAAAAAATCTCCAACAAAAGCATGTGGGGAATGCGGAAAGAACTTCATCAGTGTTGCAGATGGACGGTGAAGCAACAGGTCCCCTGGTGGCCAGAAAATTGGAATGTTAAATAGCCTCTGACTGTCTGTCTATATGTGCTGTGTGTTTATGGCATTGAATATTTGCCATGTATGTGTACATTGTAATCCGTCCTGAGTCCCCGGTTGGGTGAGAAGGACAAACTATAAATACTATAAATAAATAAACACCAGGAGACTGAAACACATTCACAGGTTCAAGCACTGGTTTAGGTTCAATCACAGGCTGAGTCCCAACAGTAATTTTTCTGTATGGTTTTCCTTCTGGCAATTAAATATTTGCCTTATATGTTGGAAACTGCCCCAAATACCTTCAGGGAGTTTGATTATTGAAGTTTGATTATTATTTGAAACACAACAAGATGAGCCCACAGCAGACAAGATCACTCCGCTGGCTGTTGTATTGGATCACACGTCAGACCCTTCCCAAGTGTCTAGGACTGTGTGATGTATCGGCGAATAATGCGTGCAGATCCCAGTAAGGTGGCCTTTTGCAGCTGGCAGATAGTAATTTTGTCAGCACCGATTGCGTTTAAGTGTAGGCCAAGGTCTTTAAACACTGCACCTGGTGTGGCCAACTTTACTGGCTTGTGTCAGAGTCTTTGTAGTTCAATCTTTAAATCCTCATATCGTGTCAGCTTTTCCACTTGTTTCTCTTCAATCCTGCTGTCGCCTGGGATTGCATCATCAATAATCCATAATTTGCTTTTTAACACTATCGTGAGGTCAGGAGTATTGTTATTGTTGCTGTTGCTGTTGCTGTTGCTGCTGCTGCTGCTGCTGTTGTTGTTGTTTCCTCACCTCAAACCTTAAGAACTGTGATTTTGATGTGTGACTTAGGGCCTTTTACTCTAGCACTTAAGACCTGGCTTTTTACTAGAGCATTCGATCTCTGTTAATTTTTAATTTCTGTATGTATGTATTTTATCTTTTACAATTTAGCTATAAATCACCTAGAGCATTCTTGGATGGAGGGCGATTAATAAGTAATTGAATATGATGAAGATGATGATGATGATGATGATGATGATTGTTTTCTAGTTCTCCTTCCTTCTTTCCTTCCTTCCTTCCTTCCTTCCTTCCTTCCTTCCTTCCTTCCTTCCTTCCTTCCGTTCTTGGTGATGTGATCCTCAGTTTGCTAATCTATGATTGTACTACAGACTGAATTACTTTATGGGTTGTTGTAGGTTTTTCCGGGCTATATGGCCATGTTCTGGACAATACATTGAATTACTTTACTTAATCCTTTGGGACAACCATAAATGCCTAGTAATGCTGCATACACCAACTGAGAGTATGACATTAAGATCTTTCAGTATTATCTCTTTAGGATATTTTTGTCCTTGACATTTCATTCCAAAATGACTTCTTTCTACCTCTATTTTCCATAGGATGATACTCTTTTCTACCTTGCTGCATCGTATTTTGTGAACTGAGCACATTTTATCACCAGCAACCATCTTCTGGAAACACCAATGTTTCTGACATCTTCCTAATTTCCCCTCTTATTCTCACTAATTTTTGATGGATGCAAATTTCCTTCCCAGAGTTCCTGTTCCTCTAAATCTCCTGATAATGCCTCTCCTTTATTGATGGCCTTTGTACTCCTTCCAGCAACTATTATTCTCCCATTGGATTGTGCGTGTGTGTGTGAACTCATTAGATCTATGCATATTGACATAATGATCGTCACTGATCTGTGTGCTGGAAAGTCGGCCTCTAGTGCCTTTAAATGTCAACATTAATGTCTTATGTGTGAACTAAAATCCCTAATACTGGCATTTTAATGATCTCACTAGATAAAAGCTGGAATAGTAATAACTATGTAAATTTTGTCTCAAGGGGAGTGGTATTCTCAGTAATCCCAACAACTACAGTGTGCAGTCACCTGGCTTGGCTGGCGATATTTGTTCAGAAAATCAAGAGCACAGGGTGATAGCCTTCCATTCAAACCTACCCCAAAACATCATGGAACTACAATTGTATTTAAATTCTGAAATAGCTCTTCTGAAACTGATTTTCAGCAAACATTTTATATCAATTGCCATTAGTAAAACTGACCATCTCTATCGTATAATGAAAAAATGATTCTAATTAAAACACCATATTAATGTAGGAGAAAGCTCCTTCAAGAATAACAACTACAATTTGCCCTTCACATTTGTGAGTTTGACTTTTGTGGTTTTATTATTGATTGACTTGATTTTATTTATTGTATCAGGAGCGGACCAAGGGTACAGTTGTAATGTATTTTTTTAAAAAACACAAAGTTTAAAAACTTGGCATTATATTAAATGTCCTTTGATCACTAGCTGGCCACTTGAAGTGCCTCTGGTGTTGCTATAAGAAGGTCCTCCATTGTACATGTGGCAGGGCGCAGACTGCATTGGAATAGGTGGTCTGTGGTTTTGATTACAATATTCTCTCTAGGAGTCTCTATGTCTTCCAGTATGATTATATAGTCGATTTTCACTGGAAGTTAACCACAGAGTTGTGCTTGAGAACCCAGGGATTCCTTCAGATATGTTCTCTCAGGTGAAAAAAAATAGTAGCTTTTTTAAAAAATCAGTTTCCTCACTTTTGTGGGTGTCCTGTGCCCCTAACCCTGAGCACTGAGTGTATTTCATCTTCATGAACCTATTGGTATTGACACTTGTCTACATCTTCCTCTCAGACATGACAAGAAATGAGAAGCAGTTTAATTTCTTTGGAAGGTTGAAAAGAGAAATGGCATAGTACTTCCCACTGCAATGTACGCATCATTTTACAGACACTAATAAATTAATGACATGAGAGCAATTGTGTCCCTCTGGCAAGCCAATGTCCTGTTGGAGTTGCTTATCAGTGTGTTCTGTACAATCAGTGAGAGATATGGTGCAAATAATATGAGTGTCTTGATTATACTTAGAAAACCCTAACCTGTTATATTTATTGAAACTTTGAGCTTTCTATTTTTTCTGTTTTTGGTTAATAAAGTAAAGAACAATGATGTTATTAGCTTAGAGAGTTTTTCTTTGCACAATCGGTCCTCTGTATCCATGGATTCTGCCTGTTCAAACATCCATGGTTTGAAAACATGTTTTTTTAATTTCTAAAACAAAGCTTGATTTTGCCATTTCATATAAGAGACCCAATTTTACTGTATAGTATATAATGGAACTTGAGCATTCATGGATGGTGGTATCTGCAGGGGTCCTGGAACCAAAGCTCAGCAGATACTGAGGGCTCACTGTATTATACTCCCAGAATCTCCCGGCTAGTATAGCCTAGACCATTTCTAAGTTATGATTTTTCAAAAATGAGCATTTCCAATCTCAAATAAAAAGCTTCCAAAGTAACTAAGGAACAGTTTATTTTTTCCATGCTTGTTGGTGAGCACCATCATTCCCACATCCAATAGAAAACTTTATGCTTTCTTTAAACATTGATACTTGCTGTGTCTGCAATTCACTGGCAAGACAAAAATAAAAAGGGATCTGGAACAGGGAGACTGATTTCTGTAGTACATGGAAATGATATGACACATTTTCTTTTTGATTTTTTAGATTTAATAAGCCTTGCACAGGTATTAGATTGAATTTTCTTTTCTACTTACCATTGTAGTTTCCGCAATAGATCCAAAGCTGTTGATGAAAATATTGCAGCTGACATTCACTGGAGGACCTGCAAAACAAGCAAGGATAGGATTGGAAGTCTTAGCAATTGAGCTGGCAAAAGTAGTTGACTGGTGCACCAATTGCTTTTACTGAAGTTCAATTGAAATGCTAAATCCTGAATGTTTTCTATTGTTCAAATATTATCTGTGTCATTATTTTTTTATTTTACTGGATGGCCAACATGGTTACCCCAAATATGTTTTATGTCAATAGTGATTACATTTGAGTAGATCACATTTTCCTGCTCTTACCCTCTTCTAACTGTCAGATGTATTGCTTTGCATTTGGGCTCAAACTTAAACAGAATTGACAAAATATCTGTGAAATTGTTGACACAATACCTTTTCACATAGTTCTTGAATATTAGGTTAAAGACCTTATAAGACTATAGCTCCCATGATTCCACAGCATTGAGTCATGGGAGATAAAGTGGGGTGAAAATGCAACTATTCCTACAGGGTAGATGCACCCTCAGTGAACATGGAAGGGCTACTGAAGATATATAACCAAAAATGCAACAATTAAGGATATCTATTTTATTTGTTGTGGTCTATGTTCTGTGCCATTCATCAGGGTTTGTTCTCTTTTGTCAGATTAAATCAGTGAGGGAGCACAGTTTACAGAGTGACAAATAACCTCTTTAGATAACAGGAAGACTGTTGAGGGAACCAGGTAAGATTCCATGAGGTTACATCACCTAAAGACCTTTAGCTCTAAAATGGTAGATTACAAAACTCTTGAAAGTGCTTTGGAGAAAAAATTGAACAGAAAGCTCAGCTGGCCCTTTACAATAATTAAGTGACAAAGGGAACTGAATCTGGGAAGCATCAGGGGAAGATTCCAAGAGGATTACTGATAGAGACCTGGGTCTCTAAGAGCATACAGTGAAACAATCAGAAACGGACCACTCGGGGGCTTACTCTTCTTCACCTTTCTTTTAATACCTGTTATTACTTACAGCTCTCCCTTGAAAAGATTACAGGATTAAACAAGCCAGTGAACCTATTCCCAATATAAATAAATCTTTCTGAATAGCAGTAGCAGCAGCAGACTGTAACATTCACTAAGGATAATGTATCCATCTATATTCAGGACTAGATCTGGCTGACTGAACATGAAGGGGAAAAGGGCAAAGGGAGCTCCATCCAGCTTCAAAGGTCTTGCCAAGAAACAGCTGTAACTGGCTGTCTAGACATGCCGAATCCCATTAGGATTCCTGCATAGAACCAGAGGGCTGGTTCATACAGGCAGGCCATTACTTGCTTTTTCTGTTTCAGATCACTTTACTTGTTAAAATCTTGAGATTTCTTCACAAGAACATGGAAGGAGTAGTGTGGGCTCCTTAAAGTCACTGTCTATCTTTGCACTTAACTGTAGGTGCAATTCTAAGCAAACTTTAATTTCAGGTTAAATTCCACTGAAATCAATACATTCCAGGATTCCAATGGATATCTGAAACCATGGATAAAAGCACACTTTATTTATTGACTACACTTGGGCCAGAAGTATACCATAAAATTGCACAGAAGGTCCTAAAGATGCCCACAAACATTTTCAGGGGATATATGTTGGAGTGTGGGTAACTCAAACCGTAGATATCAAATCTATGGATAACAGGATTGTACTGTGTCATTATATTCAATAGTGAGAGAAGGTCACAGGCAGCACTACTGTTTAACTTCCTTGGGATATGAGAGATAGAACTGGACACATTCTTGCATTGCAGCAGCCATTTATTTACAAATATGCAAGCAGAAGAGAGTGTATTGAGAGGAAGAGGAATCACATACCAGGCAATATAAATACTTGATCTGCTTTACATTTTACTGTTGCAAAATCTACATCCTGTCTTCACTCAGGGATTGCACTGGACACTTTTTATGTTCAAATTCAAACTGATGTTTCTTTAATCTCCTCCCACAAAAATACAGATCATAAACTCCAGACTGCTATTTCTTCAATCCAGTAAAAGAAATTGCAACCAATAATGTCTGACCAATACTACAGGACAATATCCAATTTTAGCCTAATTTTAGCATACTTGCTGGAAAATGTGGAGGTAACAAAATTTGTTTTGAAACAGAAGTGATGCCATTTTGGTAGGAACCAAAATCTAATCAGGACATTCAATGCTCCCTATATCTATAGGTCTCTGTCTCCTTTTTCTTGAGTTACTGCTTCTTGGTAACAGGCTTAAAAAATCAGTTGACATAAAAGGAAACTCTTCCTTAATTCTGAATTCAGGAGCTCTTCAGAAACATGTTACAGTACATAAATATAATGGGTTAAATCTAATTGCTACTGGATCAACTGAATCAATGGAGCTTACATAAATATTTCTATTGGTTCAATGGGTCTACTGAAACTGGGACTAACAATTGGATTTGCCCAATAAAATAAGTAGCCAAGAAGAACATCTCAGACATAGTTGTGGATAAAACCTTGTTTTCCTTCTTTTGAATGAGTTTCACTCTCCCTTAAATTATCACTAGTCATTTCCCTAGTCTTCTGCTAATTTAAAACAAGGTGCAACATAAATGTAAAGAAATGTATGAGCTGTTGCATTTTTTTCCTTTGGAGGAAACTGGCAATATGATAGGATTGCTTAAGCTATAGGCTAGAAGGCCTCAAGATTAAATGCATTAGATACTTTTCTTTCAAAACATGTTGATATTCCTCAGATATGAATAGAGAACAAATGTTTCCCATAGTTTTTTTGCTGGCAGTTCAGGTACAGGAATTGAACTTCATGCTTTGACATTTTTACTAACTATGGCTGTATTGAAAGCTATGATCCCTGGCAACCATGAGGGTGCATCAGTCATGTTAAAGGATGTTTCCTTGTTCCTTTTCCATGGTGCTGATGCATGCCTTATGCCATAGATTCTGAGTGGGCACACTGAATTACTTGCTGATAATCTCAAGATGCATTATGATGCAGTGTTCAAAGAGGGATAAACTAACATGATCTTAAGTCAGGATTACAGTGTGAGTTCCTCCTTTATGTACTCTCCCTCCTCAATCAAGATCTGTATTTTACACTCATTATGGGTACAAATTGGTTTTTACAGTTTCCTTCAGTCAGTTGATTTAGCAACCTCTGGGAATATTCAACTTCCCCACAAATTTAAAATTTCCAGATTTAGGGCCCATTCACACTTCCCGGTTTTAGCACTATATTCCAGTCTAACAGATGTCTAGCAGATGTCATTCAGTTAGTAACAAAAAGTAAAGTAATAGTAGTAATAATAATAATAATAATAATAATAATAATAATAATGCTTTATTTATAACCCACCCTATCTCCCCGAAGGAACTCAGGGTGGCTTCAAGAAATAGAAAACACAGTGGAAAACATTGAGTGCCAAGAATAACATATAACAAATCAAAACAAGAACAATAACATTATAAAAATAACAGCTGAAATAAACATTACATCAGACATTCCACACATTTACAACATATTAAATTCTTAAAAACTCTTAAAAATTTGACAGAAATTATTAGAGCTAAGATGATGTACAGCTAAGTAACGAAGGTAGGTATTCAGCAACTAGGCGGGGATATATATATATATAAGGTGTAATTAATCTTCCTCCTCTCCATAGACAAAAGTGCATAGATGCGTTTTAAAAAGCTTTTTAAAGTAGAGGAGAGAGGAGACCATTTTTAATTCTTTAGGGTGGGAGACATTAAATATGGTTTATAGCATTCACTCAGTGCATGTGATTTATTTTGTTATATCAATGGGTTGAATCCTATTAAATGTTCCAACTAGAACAGACCCATTAAATCAAGATTTGATGTTGTGTTATCACTATTTGGTGACCATTTTGTGAATTCACCATTCAACTATTAATTCAGTAGATCTTTCTGTGGTTAGTTGTGGCCCACATCTAGGTCAATAGAAGTCTTGAGCTCCCCCCCCCCCCCACTTCTATATGCTTACTCAATTTGATTGTCTATCTGACTCAGTTAGAAGAACTTCCAAATTCCTGCCAGATAGTCTGATAACACTGTCTTTCTTCAATCTAATTTGATTTCTTTAAAATATCAATTTACTTCCATGAAGAGTAGAGACCTTGAGTGACAACAGCTGCTCTGCTTGGCTGCTGTAAGCCTGGCACTGCATTATCAGACCTGGTGGATCATTTTCATGGCGGTTAACAATTCCTTTGCTTAGTTTGAGGAGACACTCTGCTTGAGAATTCTAGAGGCCCATGCCCGAATTGCAGGTTCCAGGATTCCATAGGATGGAACGATGTCAGTTAAAACGGAATTATAGTGCTCTAAACTGTAAAGTGTGAAAGGACCTGTGATCATCGCTGAGCCTGGAACCTCAGGTCTCGGCGGTGACCAGGGGAGCATCTGCACAGTTAAAACTTGTGCGCCAGCTTCGCCCATACCTTGGGAAGTCTGACTTGGCCACGGTAGTCCACCCTCTAGTTACATCCCGTATAGACTACTGCAATGCTCTCTATGTGGGGTTGCCTTTGAAGATGGTCCAGAAGCTTCAACTAGTCCAACGAACAGCAACCAGATTGTTAACAGGAGCGGCGCTCAGGGAGCATACAATCCAGTTTGCTACCGGGCCCAATTCAAAGTGCTGGCTTTGACCTATAAAGCCCTAAACGGTTCTGGCCCAACTTACCTGTCCGAACGTATCTCCCCTTATGAACCACTTAGGACTTTAAGATCATCTGGGGAGTCCCTGCTCTCGGTCCTGCCTTTGTCACAAGCACGTTTGGTGGGGATGAGAGACAGGGCCTTCTCAGTGGTGGCCCCTCGGCTATGGAATTCCCTCCCTAGGGAAATCAGATCTGCTCCCTCCCTTTTGACGTTTCGGAGGCAAGTTAAAACGTGGCTATTTGAGCAAGCGTTTACAAATACAGAGTAGCTAATATAGGAAATCGAATGACCTGACAATGGAATTGGACAATGCTTCAGAATAATGAGACACTGATGATGTTGCTTTTATTGTTTTTGTGATGCTCTTATATTGTTTAA